CATCCACCATTTGCTAACAGGGGTGGCAGCGTGTGTCTGACAGGGCACAACGGACAGTTGTTAACCACAGCAAGAACGGCACGTCCAAAGAAAAGATTTAGTTGAAGCATTGGGGAGCAATTTGTTCCAAACACGTCTGTGTGGACTGTGTTTGGGAGAGTGGCGTGAGAAAGAGATGAAGGATTTTAAAATGTTGAATATAAAGTTTTGGTTTTGTAGACATACACTGAAACACAGGGGGTCTCCAGGCAGGAGCGGGGGGAGAGAAGAGAGGATTTTGTAGTTGAGATTTGCTTTTACTGTGGGAGCAACCAAGGAAAACTCAGAAGGTGGAGAAAAGATGGAGGAACTCAACAAGATTGTGGATTAGCTCAAAGCGCATTGGGATACTCCAGGGTGGTCAGAAATTACAGGGGTGGGGTGCACAGAAATGCATTTATTCCCTGTGCTACTGAGGCAAGGAGCACCTTGCAGTGCACTAAGCAAAGCCGGTGTGTCACAGGTACTACATGTCTGTGATGAAGGGACCAGACAAACCAGGGTGCCCATGAGGGTGGAAGGGAAGCAGTGCCTCGGGCCAGCTCCTGGGCGCTTGCGGAGCTCAGCTCCACGCCTCCCTTCCCATGAAGTGGGGACGGGCAGGGAGAGGCTGCTCTCGAGGTGTGGGTCGAAGCAGCCTTGGAGAAAGAAAGCACAGTGGCCTACTTCAGTGCCGAGAAGTTTGAAAGTACACCTAATCCACCTGGGTTTCCATGAACACGTCTGCTCCTGCCATCTGACATCGAAGGAGTGCAGAAATTTGCCTGTTATTTCGGGCCTGGCTTCACTCGGATATTCCCATGCTTCGTGGCCGACAAGCAAGCAGAGGTCATCACTGCGGCAGGGATCAGGTTATCCTGACCGGCACACGGGCAGCGCTTGCTCGAAAGCCTACGTTGGACTCGCGGTGCCTGTGTGGGACTGCACCTGATGCGCTGGACAGGGAGGGCAGGTGGGAGTAAACCAGTAAATACCCACCTCTCCCAGGCCTGAAGCTCCTGCTGATTTCAATATGCAGGCTTGCAAAACCACAAACCTCTGTACGTGGGACGGTATTCCCACATAACCATCCCTGTGGCCAGGAGAAAAAAAAAAAAAAAAAAATCTCCTGGGATAGATGAGTTGACAGGAGTATTGCTGTTCCTTCTTCTGGTTAGTGACATCTATTTTGTATACACAGGTGTTCAGCAAAATAAATTTAGAGTTTTGGTTTAACTTTTTTTTTTTTTTTTTTAAAGGTACAGAGATAGTTAATTGGGTGTATCTCTGAAGGTCTGTCATATTTCTTCTCAGATAGGATTAAAACAGTTCAATCTGCAAACTCTATTTCCTCTGTCAAAAGGAGATAACCAATTCTGCAGACTGAAGTTATTAATGATCAACTGAGTGAATTTTATCCATCTCTTTATATCTTGGAAGGACACTTCACTGAAGCTGATTTTGATCAATTTGTAAGCAATGTCACCTTCAATAAATTCCCATCTGACAATAGAAAACCCAGTAACAAGTTGGGAAATAGCAAAGGTGATGTAAGGCTTGGCATCTATTGCAGCTCTTGAACCCAACTGCATCCCCACTGTTTTTTTTAAGAGCCATGTTAAGGGGAAAAAAATAAACCATCATCCTGGAGGAAAGCCTTCTTTTCAGATTTGATTCAGAAAGATGGTTTTCCCTGAGACATGAGAATTGCATTACTTATCATAATTCTTTCAAAAGAAAAAGCAGGTGGGAGTGGTTTAATTTTTCTCTTTCTGTCTTTGACTAGCCTAGTGTGTAAAGTCTTGGCAAATAACTTGGCTATTCAGTTAAAGGATCCCATGTCTATTCTTGTGGGCAATGTAACACAACCAAATCCTGCCGTGGTCACCTGCCAGTATCAGATGCTTGGGATGTTGCAAACGTATCTCCTCTACCCACAATGTGCTATTCCATAGTGCCAAGGAAGGGCTATAGACACTCACGGGTGGGCAAATAGACTGCTGGAGCAGCAAAAGTATGTCTGCTCGCAGCTGTAGCATCCAACCGTCTGGAGTGTGCTGCACTCACTGAATACATGGTTGGCATAAGCCTAATATTTTGGGGAAGGCTCAAGGGCAACTCAAGTAGAAATTCAGAGTTCCAGGAACAATATCTCCTCATCCACGTCCTTTCTGTACAATCTGCAAGCTATTTTTGGAAGTGGTGGTAAGGTGGAGAGAGAGCCAGGGTGAGAGGACTGACTGGTGCATCTGAAAATTATTATTCCCTGTGGCTGCTCCATCCTTCTGGAGCGTGGCCACAGATTGTTCTTGCAGTTGCTGCAAGAAGCATCTGAAGTCACTTGCTGTGTCACTGTGTTATGCAGGTATGACATGTTATCTGTTGTGGTGACCAGATCCTAAAGGTGATTTCCTTTGAACTCCTACCAGTTTGGGTCAGAAGGGAATCATTGGGGGTCCATTCTGGGCAGAAATGCTTTCTCTGACCACCAGGCTCTTGAGTCATGCTGTGCTCACTGCGCTCTTTAGGAAGCACATTAATTCAGCCACTGTACAGGGCGAACCGATCTTTGCTGTTTACCTGCCAGCTGATGCACAGCAGGATGCAAGGAACAGTCCAAGGCGAGCTGGGGTGGCATTTGCCAAATGCAGTGTGTCCTTATACTGAAAAACACACTTATTTCCTTTAGGTCAAGAGAACTTCCAAGTCTTGGCAGATCAGGAAAGCAGTGCGGCAGTCCTAGGGAGAATATGCATTTTTTCTTGTTTTTACTTGCTTTGTCTTTGCATCCTTTCATCCCCAGAAGTTATCTGAAGGAGTAAGGGTAGTGGCAGGCCACTGTGTGCCCAACATGCTCTGTGCTTTCTGCCCTTGGCTTTGGTGAAGGAGGTTATGCTTGGCAAGAAACGTTCACAGGCTTTCATTGTAGTTAGGGGTGTGGACGTACCCACTGCATTCCTCCAGGCAGTCACTGTACGTGCCCACAAGGATGGGGCTCCCCTGGAGCTGCCTCTGATCAGTGAGAACATCATATTCTTCTGTCCTTTTTCTAGATGAAAACTACAGCAGGTCAGCTGGAGGAAAGAGAAGCGGTCTGAGGGAGTTTGAGAAAACTTTAGTCGCCGTATTTCTGGAGAATGAGGGGAACAGCTGGGCTGTGACTCTCCCTTTGGTGCTTTTCTGAAGTGTTATGCTTCAGCTGCTTCAGCCTTCACCACAAGCCGGCTCCTTAAGGGAGCAAAACTATCTCTTAGCCCTCCTGCCCATCGCGGGGCTGGAGTGGAGGGTGGTTTTTTGATGCCTGGGGACACGCAGCAGGCACCTGACAGGCCTGGAAAGGGATGGGGGCTACATCCCCGAATCACCATGCGGTGTCTTCTCACCCCACTGTACCACAGATCATTGAATGAAATCCCAGCCCGCGGAGGAGTCAGCAGGAGTTTTGCTGCCTGATAAGAGTGGGTCAACCATTGCTCCTCATAAATAGAGTTAGTGTTTTGGGTTTTTTTGTTGTTGTTTTGTTGTTTTTTTTGTTTGGTTTTTTTTTTTTTTTTTTTTTCCCAGAACCAAGAAAATCAGTAAACCTGGACTGCTGAGGAGACTTTTTTACCTAGCCCTCTGGTAGAAGGGTGCCAGAGCTTGATCCTGGACAAGGCAGAGCTTAACCTAGGCTGGTTAGATGGCAGCTAGTTTCCCACTTACTATTTCCACGGGCACCAACTCACCTTTTTCATGTTGCTTAAAGTAATTTTGGTTCTGCTACCCTACATGCTTTCCTTGTCATCTTCCCTCCCAGGTGCAGCTCCCCCCTCCTCAGTGGGAGCACAGCCACGTCAAGCGTCAGCGCAGCTTTTGAGGCACCCGAGGAGGCAGAAACCTGCGAGGTTCTGCGTGACGGGGCAGGCTGGGCGTGGGGATGCTCCCGGGGCCTCTGGCTGGGAAGGACGTAGGGAGAAGCTTCACGAGGTGGATCAGCTGCCTGCAGGATGCAAAGGCTGCACACGGCTGTGCTTTGGTGGTGAGGAAGCTTTGGGCAGGGGAATGAAGCAATCATACATTTTGCAGAGTTAGAGCATTTTCCTAGCCAAACTGCTTATTTTCACAAAGTAGAAGTAACGCGGTCAGACCTGGACAGGGAGCTGGCCCTGTGCAAGGAGTTGGTCTGTGCAAGCTCTCTGCTTTGATCCTTTCCCCGAATGACCACCCTAAATTTGGAAAGGGCTCCTTTCCTCCCTTCCCACCCTCTACGTGCACACTTGATGTCTAGTGTGCTGGATTTTGATTGATTGATTTTTCTGTGCAGCCTTAAGGACTGGAATTACGGAAGCTCGTGGCCCTAAATGACACAACTTGTTGGCGATTCTTGTGTTATATATTATTGCGGGGCCCCGGCTCCAGGAACTGCCGTACTCCCTTCAGAGGTACCTTGCTCTGATTTTGAGGTGCGCTTGAACGCTCGTGTCTCCCGCTCTTTTGAATAGCGGAGCCAGGCTGGCTCACACCTTTGAGCAAGAAGCCAGCAACGTTTATACCGTGTGCTGTAGCAGCGCCCGGTCCCACGCAGCCCGTCCCGAATAATTTTGCTGCGTGCTGCGGCTCTCTTCTTCCATGCAGCTGTGGGCAGGCCCCGGAGAGAAGAAGTCCCCACGCTGCCGCGGTGATCGGGAGAAGCTTGGGGGGGGGGGGGGGGGGGGGGTGTGGGGGGGTGGACCCCGCAACTCCTCACCCTGGCCCCTGTAGCATCCCTACGGATGCGGGGTCCCCGGGCTGGCGGGGAAGGAGGGACACGCACACGCACACACACACACACGCATACACACCTCAATTTGTGGGTGGCCCGCTCGGAGAAGGAGGGTGGTGGGATGTGCCGCTGCGTGGCGGGACGGGACGCGCGGTGCCGCGCGGCGTGGGGGGGGTTGGGGTTGGGGGGGTGGGAAGGAGGGAAGGGTGGTGGCGGGGGGTGCCACAGCCGCAGCCCGGCGGGTTGCGGGGGAGGTTGGGGGCCGCCAGGCTGCGCTCTCGGGCCGGCCGCCGCGCCTCGCCGCCCTCCCCGGGCGACCGGGGCTTGGGGCAACGGCGGAGCCTCGGCGGGAGCGGGCGGTCCCGGGACCGGCGGCGGCACCGGCGGCTGCGGGCGGGGCGGGGGGGAAGGCGAAGGGCTCGGCGGCCCCAGCTCTGAGCCCCTCGCCCGGCCCGGCATGACGCGGCGGCGCCCCGGAGGAGGCGGGAGGTGGGTGCCGGTAGCCCTGGCCGCGCTCCTGGCCCTGCGAGGTGAGTGCTGCGCGGGTGGAGCCGGGCGCGGGGAACCCACGGACGGGGCATCGCCCGGCGCCGAGCCCCACGGCGATGCCCCGTCCCCCGAGGCGGTGGGGAAGTTTTGGTCGCGGTCCCGCCGGGGATGCTCGGAAATGCGGCGGCGGGTGAGCGCTTTTGCAGGCGGGCGTGGGGAAGGAGCGCTTCTCTGCCCGGCTCCTTTCGCTGCCTCCCCCTGCACCATCCTTCTTACTAGTATGATTTTTTTTTTTTTTTTTCGTACGGGGCCGTAAAACTCGCTTTAAACTGAGCTTCACGTCCTGATCCGTTGTCTGGGCCTAGCCCCTCGGTAAGCTCACCTGGGTGGAAAACTCTGCTCTATCCTTCAGGCCCTGAGGCAGCAGGGAACTTTCTGCAGAGATGGTGACAGGCTGCCCGGAGCCCTCCGTGTCCCCCGGAGGTCTTCCCCTGGTCTCCTCAGCCTCCTCCTCCCCCTCCCAGGCTCATGGCAGGCTCCTTCAGCTCTAAGATAAGTGCCTACCCTTACCCCTGGGGATGTGGAGGGACCCAAACCACTCCATCACCTCCCATGCCCAGAAGCCCTTCTGAAATAAGCTACGTACCCCAGGTCCTCTGTGTGGAGAGGGAACAAACTGCGTGTGACAGATGCTACTCACATCACTGAGTGCATTGCTGGGGAGCACCAGGAGGTGCTGCAAGAAGGGCAACAGAAGAAACTACCAAGTGCAAAATGATCAGACTCATCTGTTGATCAGGTGGCAATGCCTCCTTTCAAGTAGCGCCAAACTTTAGAGAAGGCCTGCTCAGTTATGTTTTACTGAGGTCTACCGGGGAATTTTCTTAAGGTCTGCTCATGTATGCAGAGGTCCACTAAGCAGTTTTGCGGAGGTCTGCTCAGCCGTGAGCGGCGCGCAGCTCTGCTGAGCCACCTTCCCCCGGCTGGGAAACTGGGCAACCTGGTGCAAACGATCCCTGGGAGAGCGGGCGTAGAGTAAGACGTGACGGGCTCTCCCACAAGAATACCAGAAACATCTCAGCAAGGTGTGGATGAAACTTCCTCGCAGCCTGGATCTGGGTGGAGTCTGCTGCTCCAGTAGCAGTGCCTGGCTCCCACGGCCCTGCGAGGCACCGCAGGCTGTTCCCCTCTGCCCAGAACCCGCTGAGAAACAAGTCCTGTGATGGACAAGGTGAACTTTTCACAAATGCCTCAGCCCCAAAAGCACCCATCCTCAGAAAACATTTGGGAGTCTGAGTCACATGGATGAAATGGAAATTGCACCTGCTGACTTCAAAGAGATGAATTAATGAAAGGAAAAAAAAAAAGTTTATGAGCATTTAATTGAAAGAAACAATCTCAGCTGTTTCACACTTCAAGCTAATTGTTTATTTATTGAACTTTTCCCAGTTTGGAAAGCGAGTTCAATGACTTTCAGGTTCTTAGTGCCTCCAGTTTTTGTCTTCAGGCATTGCAAAGGTGTAACTGCCTAGAAAGTTACTGTGTGACTGCTGCAGTTAGAGGCGTGTAAGTGATGAAGCGATGAAGCCTTTCTGTTATGTGATATCCCTGCAAAAGCATATAACAGTAACCAGATTTAAGGTTAAAATTAAGGGCCGTGTAATTATCTCTAGGCAAAAAGATTGACTCAATATTTAATTTTCTTTGGTTGAGAGCATGTGGGTACAATGATGATGGAGACAACGAGGCACAGAAACACACTTTTCCGTGAAATATTTATCTGCAATGGTGTAATGCTTTTTCTTGCACTTTTCTTTAAGGCTTAAAGATTACCTGAATGAACCACGCGTGTCTCAAGCTTGGTTTTTACAATTTTTTTCTTAGGAAAAGTCTTTAGAAGATGGTGGTAGATGAAAACAGCTGTGGTACACAGTTACTTCTGCGTTACACAGTCTGGCCATAGTTTTGGTGGTTCTTGAATTTGAAAAGAAAACCCTGATAAGGTATAAGGAACAGATGTACATTCATGAAAGCTGAAATAAAATTGAGGGTTTTTTCTAAACAACATTTGCAGAAGATCAGTAAATGTATTTCCGCTGTGGATTGCCAAGTCTGGTCAGGAAGAGTGATTTTTTTCCTTTTTGAGGCTTTAGATTAGTTTAGAGGATAGAGAAGAAAAATGATGGGGTCATATGCAAAATGGTGCCTAAATGAAAGGTGAAAGATTTAAAAGTTAAAGGATCAGAAGCTGTAGGAGTCTATATAGAGAAGAAATACCTAATGCTAAACAGATGAGAAGGGGTGGGGAAAAAAGTCCCTGGAAGTCATTTTGTCATTCCCACACTTTGTGTCTACGATAAAAAACAGTCAGACTTTGTAGTGAAATGTCAATCAAGCATTATGGTCCCATTTTCATGTGTTGTTTTGCAATTTGTAGAATAGCAATGATTCCTTTTAACCAGAGCTAGATGACTGCTTTCTTTGGGCCTATAATACCCATGCTTAATGCTCCTGGGGCAGGGACAGCATCTATGCTTTCCCTCTAAAGCATTATGAGTGTAATAACTTCTGCAAAAATAATATTTTTTTCAGGCTCCCTAGAGAAGTTTAAGGAAAGATAACAGGGAATTCTGTTTAGACCTTTGAAACCAAACCTGCGATTGCAAATCAATCCTGCTATGTAGCCAGAAATAGCGCACTACAAATTGTCAAACGTGTTAGAAATCACACGTCGGGTACAGCTAAACTGCAGAACCAACTTTTTTTTTTTTTTTTTTTTTTTTTTTTAAACCGGATGGTGTTTGGATCCTGTGACATAGTATTGCAGCAGGTGAGATGTCAGCACGTTGCAGTCTGTTGCAGCTGGATCTTGTGAGATCGGGGGTGGGTGGGGGGGTGGTGTGTGTGCGTGTGGTGTGTGTGTACGTGTGTGGTGTGGGTGTGGGTGTGCGTGTGGTGTGTGTGTACGTGTGTGGTGTGGGTGTGGGTGTGCGTGCACACCCGTCAGTGTCGCCTCGGTGCACATCTGGCCGGCAACTTTGTCACAGCGGTTGGTCTTCCCGGTCCTCACCTGGAGTCACCCTCCTGCCAGTCTGACGTTACCACAGCTGAAGCTGAGTGTTTAAGATTTGGCCTTGCAGCACCCTTGTGCTAGCCCACATACCCCCCTTCCCAGCCCAGCCCCAGCAAGAGAGGACTCTGACAGTCCCTCACTCTGCCATCCATGCTTATGCATTTTTTTTAAATATTTTTTTTTTTTTTTTTTTTTTTTTTGGAACAGATTGCCATTTGTGTCAAGCTGTGTGGTTTTGTGACATGTAGATAAATCATTTTGCTCACGACCTGACCTTGGTCCCCAGCGGTAGGCACAAATGCATTAACTACTTCTTGCGTCTCTGAAGTGGGCATCCTTCCCTTATTTGGGAAACTAATCCTTTATCTCCATTTCTTCAGTATTGCCTAAAACCTAATTTTCTTTAGTAAGATTCCTTTCTCTGAGTGATCTCAAAGTGCCTCAAGAACAGCTATATTTAGCTGCTCAGTAGTAATATGGATATGCAAAGTATGGTATAAACAACTCATTAAGAAATTTAGAAATCATTTTCCCTGCCTTCGTTGGGGAGACGTGTTTTTATTATTATTATACCAATAGTACAGATGGAGAAAGTGAGGCTCAGAGAGGCTTTGTGACCCGCTGAAGGTCAGCAGATGCTAGTAGTAGTCCTGAGTATCTTGGTCCAAAATGTAACCACAGGAGAATGCTTAAATTTATGCAGCAGGTTAAGCAATACTGTAAGGGTACTCTTTAGGGATGTTCACTACTAAATTGTGGTGAGTCATCTATATTTAGCAGGATGCTACTATCATTGTACTTTTTAAGTAAAGTGCTTTTAACACACTTTATTTCAAGGAGAAGTGCATGCACTGAAAATCTGTTCTTTGTGGTTTTCTCCTTGTGGAGCATTAATGGTGCCTTCCCTTTTGTAAATGCTCAGAGAGAAATTTAGCTTCTGGTTGTTTAACAGACACTGGTGTAACAAAGACAGTTCCCTGGTTATTACTACCTTGTGTTTGCACAGTCATTTATGAACATCGACTAACTGAGAGTCTCCAAACTTACTGTGTGAGGGCAGTCAGTTTGATTTATAGCATGGAAACCTGAAGTGTACAGAGATGAAATGAGTTGCTTGCTGTCAGGCAGGACACCTGCCCAGCCTCTCCTTTAAAGAAGTCACAGTTACAGGGCTCCTAGCCATATGCTACCCCACTTTTCTCTCAGAAATGTTTAATGTCTTATGCACCAGGCCGAAAGCACAATATCATTAATTATGCAGAGTGAACTGTTGTGGGTTTGTTTTTTGGGTTTGGGGTTTTTTTGGTTGGTTTTTTTTTTTTTTTTGGTTGGTTGGTTTTGGTTTTTTTTTTCCCTTATATGTTTCCATCTCTGTGGTTTTGGAGGTCACTTGTGTCCATTCTGGCTTCTACCTTTTTTTTTTATATTCATTGCTTGAGATGGGCTGAGGACAAATGCTCTGTTTCATCAGGATTGAGGAATTTGGCTTCATTCTGAATGGAAATAAAAGTTAAATGCTTTGATGGTTTTGAAAGGAAATTTTTGAGAGAAATTCCATTTTAGGACAACTGATACTGTGTTTCTTTGTGGAACTGTATTGTTATAATACCAGAAAATACCCTAAGCAAAAAGATATTTTGATGTGAAAAATCAAAATTTTCATCCCAAAGACGCTTAAATTGGATGTTCTGTATTTCTGACAATTTTCCCCTGTTTTTGTTTTGAAACACAGTTATGATTTTACAAAGCATCCCATGTTCAATAAGGTTTGGTTTAGTGGAAGCATCTACAGTATAAGCCCTAGTGGTTGCTATTTTTTATTTCTACAGGGCGTTTAAAAACAACAGTGAAAAAAACCCAACTTGCAGCAATTGCTGTTATCTGTGCACAGTCTCTGCCCATTATTTTTGCCCTCTTGACACGTGTACACAAACACCATGTACACGTACGTGGCATTGCCCGTGTCCT